CAGACTTTAACTTTTTTTTGGCATGGTTCGCATAGTCGTAAATATAATTTGATTACTTCTTGAGTAATATTTTTATATTTTTTTTACATTCTTTTTCCATTCGATGTTTTCCTCCATGTCCAACAGCCAAATGAGTTTCATGCAAAATATCGAACATTTCATCATTAGTCACGTAATATTTAATTGTTGTCTCACTTGAAGATAGAGGAGCAATCAGTTTCTCGACGCCACTTACCGAGCACAAATCAAAACGCTTCAATCGCCGGTATTGTAAAGTAGTTTTCGATTTAGCTTCTTTTGCACTTTTTACCGAATTAATTATTTCCAAATACTGTTCGTTACTAAAGTAAAAAGAATTTAATCCTTTCGCTGAGAATAACTCTTGAAATTTTGTATCAAAACGCTCTCGAAAAGAACGTGCACTCTGTTCGGTCGCCATTTTGTCACTAAGCAAGCGGCGGCGTGGCCAGTGTTGCCAACAAGACTAATGCAAAATTTGCTAAACTGTTGTTAAAATTTAGCCAACACATTACCCAGACAGAGTTGGGTAGACCTAGGTGAGCATGGGTAAACCCCGAATTTAAATTTATTTTACTTATTATTCGGACTTTACCCAAGAAGCTTGGGTAATACTAAGTCAACCCGAGTAAACCTAGGTTTACTCCACCTTCTAGCATTACCCGTAACATATATACCAATTACCAGGCGCCAACTTAAATCTTCCATTACCACCTGTGCACAGGACAGCCATTTCAAATTATTATGTTAGTTTTTTGTCAAAACTCTTTTAATTCATATTCTGTTATTATGAAAATTGGCATACAAGCAAACAAAAGAGTTTGTATTGAAACAACATAAAAATAATAACATTGAATTAGTTTCGTTTTCTAGAAAAATCACATGCTTCTATGAGCGTCTATCAAATCCGTCACTTTACCGACTGATTACTTTGAAATGTAAAACACATGGTTTGTTTTTTAATGTAGCCGTAATATTTAGTCAATGTAGTATCCAAATATGATAAAAATATGATTTTGGATTTTTTCAAATCCGCCATTGTTCTACGATCATGACGCTATTTCTGTATTGGAATTTATAAATGATATCATTCTTCCTCTTGAATAACATTGTTTGATGTTGTATGGGCTTTGTTACAATGTTTCGGTTGAGTGTTTCTCTGAATCTTCTTATCTACGAGTTTATATAACGGAAGCGGGAGTCCTGTTAATCTTAATATGTATATATAAATTACGCGTCACGTTGTTTGTCCGCTATGGACTCCTAAATTTTTATTATTGATAGTCACAATTCTAACAGATGGCGTTGTGTTGAAAGTACCAACGTTTCACATAAGCTACAATTTAATGGTATAACCACCAAAAAAGCTTGGTGGTCCCCATGACTGGTGTTCTCCTACCGTTTCCCTTGAATAGCTTGCTACTATGTAATATAACAAAAACCTTAGCCACAACAACGCTTGGCTGGTCTGCTAGTAAAATATATAATATAAAGCCACCACAACAACTGGTCATCTCTCGTTTCATCAGTGTTTAATGGACAGTATTTACAATTTTCTTAACCTAATTAGTCATAAACCGTGTACTTACTTGAAACAACGGCCCAAAGAGTCTCCAAAGGAAGAATTATTAATTATGTTTTTGTATATATTTAATAAAGGTCAGCCAACATATCTTACCTATCTTATCCCACATATTTAAAAATACTTTGCACATTAAAAGGTACCCAATTGCAGAATGACACAGCTTGCTTCAAGCAACTGACACGCCTCCGCCTTGGCCAGGCCCTAATAATAATAATTCTAGAAATTCATACTCATAAGTTGTACTTTGATAGAGAGATATCAACAGAAAAAGCAATACACTACAATAGACCAGATATAAAACTGATTAAGTCAATAAAACAGCACATTTAATAGATATCGCCATACCCAACATCTAATTACAAGAAACAATAGCTCAATAGCATTATACAGATCATAAAAAATTAATTTAAAAGGATTCGAACCCTTAACAAAGTATCAATACTCCCTATAAATGTTCACCACCGGAATAATCCCAAAACAGTTACACGAAGCTATTAAACTGATAGACCTCTGGAAATCCATTTCTATTACCTTTCAAAAAGCAATATTAAAATACCAGAAGAATAATCCGCAAGTTTCTACAAGATAAAAAACTGAGTTCACTTGGCTTAGGCCTTTCTACGAGGATCATTCCAAACATAATAATAATAATTTATTTGTACCATACAAAAATATTATGGTGGTACAATGCGATGGCAGCAAAGAACAAAGACTGCATTTTTGCCAAAACCGATTTTTTGCCTTATATTGTCTTATTTTTTTTCTCGAAAAATGTTGTTTATTACTCCAACTTTTCAACGTATAAAAAGACATTTACACTGTTTCTTAAAAATGATTAAGTACAAACGGATACATTAGTGGTCAGCTGTTATAAACAATGATATCAGTTACTTGGCCGTTTCGTCTTGGGCGTCCGACGTTTTGAATATATAGAAACAACTTACGTTTTAAGCCAAAAAACGAAAGCAAAGTAATGTTTTTAAAAGTGTCACGATCATTGGGGACACGCGTGAAGATATGTTTATTAACTTATTGAATTTTTACATAACCTTACGTACCTTTCTGATAGCAATCCATTCGTATTATCTCTAATTTTATTAAACTTGAAATTTAAGGTTGTTAAGCGAAGCTTAAAAGGATATCTGGCAGTATTTTGAGACTAGGTACTCAGTGTTTTAGTACCAATCATAAATATATTTGTTGTTTTGGTAAAATTGGTTATATATTGTGTTATTCCCACGAGAATATAAGTGCATGTTCCTATTTCACCATGACTCCTGCTGATAGAGACAAATTTTGATTTCAATTTAAATTTTTATTATTATTAATTACTTATGATGTCATGTGGAACATGGTGTAATGGTTGCAGCTCCTTACAAACATTGTGTAAAACAAAAAACTTGGCGATTAAAAAGAGTGACGGAGAGTTTATTGTCACTTCTTCTCTTCCGTTCTACGTCCTTGATTTGAAAACTGGCAGTAAATGTAAAATTAGAAGCATTTAATATGTATTTCTTTTTTGACGTTCATAAGTGTACATTGTGTTACCTATATGAATAAATGATTTTGATTTTTGACTTATATGATTAATAGCAATAAAAATACATCATTATTAATAAGATAGTTAAAGAATAAATAATTATCGGGCCCCCAGTAGAGACGGACATATGGCAGTTGATTCAGTTTCTTAGTTATTTCAATCGGAGTAGAAAAAGATATCTACCGTATTTTGAAAAATAATAAAATTATTGATAATTAACCTATACTAAATAATAGGTAATGTTGTAATAATTAACTATTCCAAATTCGAAGAAGATGTTTTTGTTATTGTAGAAGTTATACTATTATTGCACCAAAAACGCTCTACTAAAACTAGTGTTTTTGTAGAAGACCGTTTGTTCTTTGCTGCCGTTGAATGTCTACTTCGCATAATATGTTTTACATAATAATTAAAAGGTAGAATTATAGTCAATTATTATATTATTGTATCACTATATCATCACATTATTAAAATATTTTCTCCACTTCCGTTGACTTTAAAATATTTATGTTATTGTGAAGGAATAAGGATATTTCTAGAATATACTTTTTTTTTTTTTAAAGGACAATTCACACCAATTGACCTAGTCCCATGCTAAGCTGGTGAAGCTTGTGTTATGGGTACTAGGCAACGGATATACATACATATTATAGATATTATATATACATACAGGAAAGAAATACAACAACTATCAAGGCAGTTTGCTGCACAAATTGCTCTAATATATATTTTTTTTATCCTTGCACCTCGTAGTCAAGTTACTCTAGAACTGATGCTGCTAAAGCCCAAATAGTTCTAGAACTCTTGACAAAATGCATTTGGCAATAGCGCGAATTAATAGTATCTCCAGACAATTATACAAAATATTGACAATACTGTTCAAAAACAGATGATCTGCAGTTCACACTTTATTTTTAAATGCTTAGTCTATAGTGGTAATAAATTATGGTTTAAAAAAAACAAGTTCCATAAGAAAACACCTAAACTCTAGGTATCATAAAATTTGTGTGATACGCAAAAGTCAAACTGCTATATGACCAGCAAATCCAGCATATGAGTTACCTCTTCCAAATAATGATCATTTCAGAACGAAGGTTAAAAATTTAAATTTTAAAATACATAATCGTTATTCCTATTAACAGTTATAATTACTTTATGTATGGGGCTTCCCCGAAATCATAAAGAAGAAGGACTGTTAGAAATTAGTGTTGCCAGCATAGAAGGAGAAATACCGTTTTTATGAACAAAATATAGCTGAGTTATAATTTTCTGCATCAATACCAGTTATAAGCAATATAAGAGAAATGTTTTTAATTAATAAACTTGAAACTGATATATTTAGAAAATTAATTCACTATTAAAACACGTTATAACAGTTGTAACACTGGGCTCTATTATTTTCCTATTTTGAAAAAAGAGTCCAATCATAACAACACAATGGTACAATTATTAAATTTTGTAAGTATTTGTATTTAATCAAAGTTTAATTGGTTTTATTAAATTTATTTTTGCTTTTTTTAGCACACAATATTTTCTGGCAACACTGCTTAGTTAAATCTAATCTATGTAAGCGCTTTATGATGTTTATTGGTTTTCAGATAGACTTACTAAACTAATTTTACAAATTTCATATGCATACAAATCTGAATTCATATTTGTTTGATTTTACGAGATTTGTTTATAGTGTACCCCCTAATTTTTTATAAATCTCTTAAAGCTTTAAACAAAATAATGAAGCGGTTTATTAAATGGTCACACAGCGCTTGATCGCTGAGTTATCAAAAAATATCCTATAAGTTCTTGAAGCGTACATTTCCGTTACTCCAGTCTCCAGTTACCAGTATCTTGGCTTGAGAAATGGTTCGTGTCTTCGCTATGGATTGTGAGAGGGTTCAAATTAATAAGTATGAAAGTAGGCTTTATAGAGTAACCGTCGTGAATGAAAAATATAATTGTGTCATGGATAGACATATTAAACCAGTACCCGACAACCGTCACCCGAGTTGCCGTAGACAATATAGCTCGGCAGAACCGGTAGAGGAAGTAGTCCTTGCTTTGAAGAAAATCATCAAAGAGGAAGACGTGCTTGTGGGGTTTTATGTTCAGAAAGACCTCCATGATATGGGAATGTCCCACTCTAATGTCAGGGACATGGCGCCCTACAATGCTCTCCTAGTAAGTGCTATTATTTATTTCAGTAAAAGTAAATCATAACAATTAGTTTATTAAGTATATCTAATTTAAAATCAGTCTCGTTTGGCGTGTTTTACAGAAAAAACAATTTTCTTTACTTGTTTTTGCTTTAAACTGTCTATGAATTATTGACTATTCTATTATTATTGATGTTATGTTGGTTATTTTTTCAATGTAATAGATACGTAAAGGCTTGTTACACAATATAATAAGTACCTAATTATCTCTCTTAACCAATTCCGAATGCAAGTGCGGCGTTTAGATGACGCAAATATAATATAGTATTTTTCAGGAATCTGGCCTGAAAGAGTCTCTTATGGATTTGGCTTTTCAAGAGCTTTGTTATCGCAATCCCGGACGACATTACTCTCGCTATTTTTCTGCTGCTGCTATGAACATTTACCAAAAATATAGCTTTTAATTATTTATGTAAATACCGTTTTAATGATCCCAATTTACGTGTTCTTAAATGTTCATTAATATTTTACTTTGTTCTTATTACAAATTAAGTTTCCATTCGATAAGTTTCGTAAAATAAATGTATTAATTGAAATGGTTTTAATTCCTCCTTGTTCTGTAGGATATATTTGATATCTTTTACATAGTTTAGTATAGATTTTTCTGATAAATTTCCTTGCAAGTTGCAGTTTCATTATCGTATCGTAGTTTTCTAACATCCTTCTTTCAAACCAAGTGTCAGAGTAAAGTCGTTTATTTAACTAATTACATTTACTCATTACACATCATTCCATTACAGATTATGCCATTATGGCAACTATTTACATTTTATTTTCATAACACACAAAACTAACAAAATATTTACAAAAAATGATCAATTTACAAATATTGTCCCACATTACAAATAATGTTTAATTTAAATACATGTTACATTACAAGTCGGTCACGTCCACCTCTACGTCCGCCATTTTGACTGCAAATTCTAATTTAATGACGTGGAATAAGTGATACATGTATCTTATGTTCCTTAATAAACATATTTTTTTTTTATTCAACTGTGGATGGGTCTGTGTCTGAGGGATGTCTCATGGGTCATGGGATGGAGGCATGGAGGCTGGAGAACACTGCACAGGCGAATCGCGAATATTCATGCGTATATTCACATCGAGCGAAAATTCAATGTCAGTCGCCACCTTAAGGCCGATTTACATTATCATTAGTGTTTAGTAGAGTGCTTTAGGATAGTACTTGTTGAAACTGTAAACGCTACTTGCTTTAGTAAACCTACGCTAAAGAACTTGCCTTTCAAGTTGTACTAAAGCACTCTCCTAAACACTAAGATATGTAAATCGGCCTTTAATAAAAGTCATTCTGAGCATTTTGAAATAAGCTTATTATATTATTCGTCTGAGCAAACAATTAAAAAATGCTAGCGAAATGCGAATGAGTGTGATGGCGCCAGTGATAACAAGAAATTGATATCTTTACATTAAGGGAACAGTTCAAGATTCAATTACTGCAAAGTTTTGCTAAAACTTATTTGTCATCTTTATAACATAAACAATTTTTTAACCGGTAAATAAGATTTTGTAAATATTAAATTTCGGATCCAAATCATGACATCTTCAATACGTATCGCTAGATAGCATTAAAACAATTCAGCGTTTGTAGTGTTTTGTCACAATCATTATCACATGCAAATTACTACTAGATGGTGCTCTCCACACATTTATAAACAAATTCTTGAACCAGTTAGAGTGAAGAGAAAAGGAAATGCGGGTGTAACAATAGTCGAGGCATGAAGTGATTTGTTAAAAATATATTTTTGTACTGATTTCATTTATTTATTTTTAGTACCGGTGGTAATTTTTATAAACTTTAAAAAGACAAAAGTATTAATTGTTAATTAAACCAATTTAGCAAAAGAACCAAATTGCCGGGTAAAGTATATTATACAGTATACACCCAGGAAGAAAAAATACTAAAATCGCAATTTTATCGTTGCGTAATTTTTACTTCAAATCGATAAATTAAATAAAAACTCAACATTAATGCTTTGTTTGATTTGATTGATCGCAAACATCAATTTTAATCTAATTTTCTGTCTTCTTTGCCGATGAGTAGGGATGCCTACAAATTCAAATTTAATGACGTGGAATAAGTGATACATCTATCTTATGTTCCATAATAAACAAATTTTTTATTTTATTTTTAAATTCTTGTATCTAAATACTGAATAAAACAAAGTCGTGTTAGTTATACCACTTATAACTCAAGATCGGCTGGACCGATGTTAGTTATCTCTTTTTAGGTGGATTCTTCTCCGCTCCGAATAGCAAAATAAATAATAAAATATCGGGCAAGTTATCGGATAATAATAAATAAATAAATTCATTTTACGAATGCAAACAGCATGTGGTGCCATCTGTTGACAAAACTACGCATATAAAAGGAACCTAGTCAAATCGCGACGGTATTCAAAGGTTTTTTTAAAAAGGAAAACTTTATTAAGTAAATTACACTTAATATTCTTAACTTATAGTCGATATGAGACTCTTATTCTAAGGTGGTCGATATTAGACCCTAATCCTAAGGTGGTCGATGCAAGACCCTATCACTATGGTGGCCGATATTAGACTGCCTTTAATATAATTATAATCTTACAGCTAAAACCCCTTACATGATAACTTTGATTCGTGGTACACAATGGAATAATAAGACTAAGCATTGATTGCATTAACGCTTATAGTGCGTTTTGGGTATCTGTGTGACATTGTAACTTTTCCCTCCTTAAGCTCGAAATCATCTGAAGAACAATTTTTCGGAGGATGGTTTCGGCCTTGAAATATTATACATGTTTTTATCTTTTTGTATGCCAGAAAGGATATAAGACTTAAAATTAAAATTACATATAGAATTATTGTCCCTAAACTGACACTATTGGTTTTCACTACACTATCACTTTGATTTTCACTGTTTTGTAGGGCGTATGATAATACTTTTAAATTGGTTAAATCAACCCCATTCAGCTTAACAGGATTAATGTTGCTCTGGATACTGATCTTCAAATTTTCAGGTAAATTTACTAGCGGCAGCTTTTGAGATATAAGCTTCTCACCGTTACTGCTATGTATTCTTAAATTGTGATTTGCAATGTTATATTGGCATTTATCTTCTATGGTTAATAAGTAAGTATTTATGAGAGTGTAATGTAAAATTTAATTATCACAGGTTCTAACCAGATCAACAGGTGATTTAGAGTAGATTATCCATCGGTTAATCTGTAAAAGTTCTACTTTAATTTCTTCGAATTCTATTGGAATTTGTTTGCAAGAGACGTTGTGAGAATATTTCATCAGGTCCAGGATACAAGTGTCTTCAACAGGTACCATGGTCTGCAGCTCATCACAGAGGTATATTTCTTCTTCTATATTCTTACATGGTGTCGACAGCGATTTCGCTTTCAACCCCTTCGCAATAAGGTAAGGATACTTGGGTAATATTATTAAGGTAAGGTTTGTTTCAGGTTGGGTGATAGGTAAGGGTACAATTTTATAATAAAAATAAGTTTCTTTCTTAACTAAGGGTATTTCTAATACTAGAGTAATAACATTGTTCTTAAAATACGATTTCAATGTCATGGACTGTTCAATTCTTACAATATTTTCAGGAATTACTTTAAATATCAGCTTATCTGTTTTCTCTATGATTCTAAGTACATTAATGAGTTCATTAGTATTAATTATAGATTGATGTAATACGCCCATTCTACTGAATGCTAAAATGTTTTCAATCTCGGTCAATTTTGTGTAAATTATTTGAAAATTATGTAAGAAGGAATTATAGATATGTGTTATTTGGTTAACATGTGAAATAATTGAAATGTCTTTAATATTTTTATTAATTTTATTAATTGCATCACTTAATTGTTCGAGATTGTTTGTAATATTTATAGTAGAGTTTGCAACAAGTCTTATCATTTCGGATATAACAGTAGTTTTCTTTTCCAGAGAATGTTCACGAGATTTTACATTTTTTATTAAGTTGTCATATTTAATAGCATCATCGTAATCCAAATTTCCTGTTATCATTTTAACTAGAGATCCCAAAGGATTAATGAGTCCTCTTTTCTGTCTATTAATTGGTACAATTTCTGAATATTTGTTTAATGTGATATTTAACATATAATTAACTTGAAGCTTAACATCATTGAAGTATATTAACGAAGAGCTACTGGTATTTAACTGTAATTCTACTATTCTATTTAGTTCTATATACCTATGCATATTAAATTCTAATTCTTCCTTAATAAGTTTAATATCTAATGTCTTAATTACTATCCACTTATCATACGTAATCATAGCGGTTCCTTCTCTAAGAGGGAGAACGCCTGGATTCTTCTCAACCTTTTGAAGTTGAAGGGCCCGGATCGTTACTGCTTGGGTCACTAGCAGGACGAACCTGTGGGGGACGTTTTATGTCTTTTATTGGAACATTTTTATCTTTTGTGCTAGTTTCTACCAATACTACATTTCTTTTTATTTTACCCTTAACTTTTGCTTTTTCATACCTGGGCTTATCCTTGCTTCTACGTCGGTTTATGCCTTTAATAAAAACATTATCACCTTCATTTAAATCAAAATTAGTTTCTCCTACTCTACTTTGTTGAACTTTTTCTTTCCTAGTTCCTATTTTATCGGTTAAGTATTTGTATAAGTAGTGAGTTCTTTTTGCATGATCCCTAACTAGTTGTTGAATATATTCTTTATCAAAGTTTAAATTGAATTGATTGTTATTTTCCGTGTGACCAAATACTACTTCAAACGGAGTGAGACCTGTTACTGAATGCATTGTTTGATTGTAAGCCATTATAGCATAAGTCATCACTGATGTAGCATCTGTGAATTTATGTTCATATTTCGCAAGTCTATATATTTCTAAAATTGTGGAATGGAATCGTTCTATTAATCCCATTGAGTTTGGATTATTAGGGGTGCCTATGTGAATGTCTATTTTATACAATGTCATTAAGTCTTTCATGAGTTTATTATTGAATTCAGAAC